GGATAGATAGATAGATAGGTAGATGATAGATAGATAGATAGGTAGACAGATAGATAGATAGGTAGACCGATAGATAGATAGGTAGACCGATAGATAGATAGATAGATAGGTAGACAGATAGATAGATAGACAGGTAGACAGATAGACAGGTAGACAGATAGATAGGTAGACAGATAGACAGGTAGACAGATAGACAGATGATAGATAGGTAGATAGATAGGTAGACAGATAGATAGATAGATAGATAGATAGACAGGTAGACAGATAGATAGATAGACAGGTAGACAGATAGATAGGTAGACAGATAGATAGATAGATAGATAGATAGATAGATAGATAGACAGATAGATAGATAGATATGTGGATAGACTCTGATTTGTCAGTCACTGCTCTTGCAGGCCTGCAGGTCGTCTGGATGAGTATCTGGCCTGCATTGCAAAGATCCAGAAAGCCGTGGAGTATTTTCAGGACAACAATCCCGACAGTCCCGAGCTCAACACAGTGGTACGTATGTCACGCACTCACAAACCTCTCACGCTTCTTCAGTCCGTAAGAAGCTCCTCAGCGAGGCTGTCGTGTTGCAGAAAGCACGCTTCGAGAAGGGGAAGGAGCTGCTGGAGGCGGAGTTTCGCAGCCTGCTGATGCGCTACAGCAAGCCAGTGCCGCCCATCCTCATCCTGGACGCCATCGGAGGAGACGAGGACATGGAGGTGCAGGAGGACGTGACGCTGGAGCACCTGCCCGAAGCCGTCCTGCAGGACATCATCTGCATCTCTGCCTGGCTGGTGGAGTACGGACACAACCAAGGTGCACACACATATGTCATAAAGTGTTTTAGTGCCATTAGCGTCATTAGTGTTGTATTTTTTCCATTCATTTTTCCCAAAGGGATTTAAAAAAATTTGCTGTAAGCAGTGAACCAAACCAGCCAGTTACGAGCAGGAGCACAACGCTACAAACTAGGGCTGCAAAACGATTAATCGCATTCAAAATAAAGAAAGTCTGTGTTTACATACTATGTGTGTGTGTATTGTGTATATTTACTATGTATATATAAATACATACACATACATGTATATATTAAGGAAAAATATGTTATATTTATATATAAAATATTTTTTTCACCATGAGTTCTGCTATTAATTCACTTGATTATCTAAAAATATTTGAATTTATGTGCACAGATGGTTTTAACTAAAGCATATATCACTGATTAAAGGGGTCATATGATGCGATTTCCTTTCTCTTTGGAGTGTTACAAGCTCTTGGTGCATAAAGAAGATCTGTAAAGCTGCAAAGACTAAAGTCTCAAATCCAAAGAGATATTCTTTATAAAAGTTAAGAGTCAGTCACACCTACCTAAAACGGCTCGTTCTAACACGCCCCCACATGTCTACATCACTATGTGGGAAGATTTGCATAACGCCGCCCAAATGTTCACGCAAAGAAAGAAGGCGTAACTTTTATTCTCACTGTAGTATTGTTGCTGCCGCCGCCGCCATGTCGTGAAGACGCTGTGTGCTTCGTTGTGAAAGCGAAACTACTTTGTTTGGTCTTCCAAAAGAGGACGATATCCGCTTCGTCATGCCTGGAGCTGATCCGTGCTGGTCGCTGAGGAAATACTACAACTTTGCACTGTGGATCACCGGATCGGCTTTCACCGTGGACGAAGCGGAGTCCAGCCCGGGGTCGTCACATGTGTTTGCCGCAATCCCTCCGGACGCTCCTTTGTCGAATCCGCCGGCCGCCGCTCACTCGAGCTCGCCGGGTTTTTGATGTTTTTGTCTCAGTTGCTCCGGCCAGACACGGCATCACAGTATATGTTAAGGGGCGTAACATTTCCGTTTTTTTTTACCTTAAACCGCATAAACACATTTCATTACACAAAATAATGTTCTTTTTAGCAGCATCATATGACCCACAACAGGTCTGTCTTTAATAGCTTATCGGTTATCATTAAAAATCAATTTCCCTATGGAGAAAATGAATTGGTTTTACTTCCAGAACCTGACTGTTGCTCACTGAGGATGTTTGAAATCTCATGCCGTGTGTTTGTTTTTCTGCAGACTTCATGAACGTGTATTTCCAGGTGCGGTCCAGTCAGCTGGATCGGTCCATTAAGGGACTGAAGGAGCATTTCCGTAAGAACAGCGCCACCTCTGCCATGCACTCGCCCGCTGTTCAGACCAAACGCAAGGAGACGCCCACCAAGAAGCCTCCCAAAAGACCAGGTCAGTGACCTTTAACCCTTCACCCCACTAGACCGGGTCTCTTTGGGTTTCTGATGGTGCTGATGGATCACGATCAGGTGTATCTGACTTCCATGACCTCATTTCCTGTCGAAGTTCTCCTCTTTTCCCTTTCCTAGTGTTTGTCTTTTTACTAACCGTCTCCTCTCCCCGTTTCTCCTCTCTGTCTCACTGGTGTCTGATGATGTCAGTCTACATCCCAGGTAAAGTTGCAGCCGTGTTTGTGACGCTTCTGTTTGCAGAGCCAGAGCTTCCCATCTCACTCACACACACACACACACACACACACACACACACACACACACACACACACACACACACACACACAAACAC